AGTTTTCTGCTAGGACTATTACATTCCCTTCAGCAACATTAGCCAGACTAACAGAAGAATTCTGGCTGTGTAGTTGCTTCTACACAGGTCATTTTGTGCTGGCTCAGCTCTTCTGGGTAGCACATGTCATTTTGGGTTTTTTAAATTACTAAGTCAACTGACTTACACTGTCAAGTCTGGTAATACAGCCTTGGTCGGAGTACTCTACAATTCTCTAAAGCTATTTACAGAGAAAAAACCGAAACAATAAAAAAGTCCATTATAAATCACCTGATCACAACAATCCTAAAAATTCATGAGATGAATGTACCTACAAAAAAACCACTACTTTTTCTTCCAAAAGCTACTGCACTTCAAGAAACAGCAGTCTTGTAGATGGTGATCTCTTTTAAAAGTGTTAAAACTTTCTGAAACGGTTATTTTCAGAAATCTGTATTTTGTTTAATGTACGTCTAACTGCGTGGCTGGGAGGTAAACTGTTGTAGGAACGGGGTACACACTGCTAATAAACGAAAGGAAGGGGTTACTGCAGGACTCATTATGTTCATGAACTTTTACTAGCTGCACAGACAATGCTCGTTTGAGATAAAAATCTGTTTAATGTCACTTGGGCACAGTAAAAAACAAGAACAATGTGGATGTTGCCTGTTTGGTCCAGCACGTTTTAATTAGACCACTGCTCTGAAAAGAATGATGTTGCTGTTGCTACATCTGGTATTTCCAAAAAAAGATTAAACAACAAAAAAACTGAAGACAAAAATGTTCCTTAAAAATAGTAATTAAAATAACAATAGTATAAACATTGTCAAGTAAATCTCCAGCAACTTTCGTATACCTTACTACATTCAAAGATTACTTAGCTAGGAACCAAGCTATGGAAAATACTATGTGCATAGCACAGAAAAGCAGCGTTACTCAACTGCAAACCCTTTGGGGAAAGAAGGTATCTCTCTGTCTGTCTGATGTTGTACAAGTGCCAACATAACCACGTCACTGCTAAGGACAGTGCATAAAACAATAACTGTGCAAGCAAGTTTGGATTCAGCTAATACCTGTTAGAATGCCAGTGAGATTTTTACGTTGGTGTAAATATTAAAATTTTACAGAATATAAACTTTTCTTTTTTTCATTTTTTAATGTGAGCACTTACATTTTGTGCTGGAAAAAGAATCTCCACATACTGCTGTTTGAGGTACTTTGCAGATGGACAAAACAAACTGCAGTTCATCGGTGGTATAATGCCAATAGGACCAATGGATTTACAACAAAATTAAAAGTGC